TCTGATGCATAACAAGTGATTGCAAAGACCATGGCCTGTATCAGATGCACCTTAGTCTCCAGAGAGACACCATTGCTCTTCAGCACTTTGGAGCGGTCCATAACAATAGACTTTCCCATGGCAATGCACCTTTTAATTTCCTGGCTACTGGTGCCGAGAGTGTTGCCTCTTTTAAATAATCATAGATGATATCCTATTTCCAGCAAATTGTTTTTCTCTCATAGCAACCCTGGGTTCCTGAGGGTAAAATCTTAGGGATAGAGATTGCTTCATTTTTCTGTAGTAGATTAGTGAGTGCATTCCAACCATCAACTTTGTAGCTTATTACACACAAATCATGTTATTTAGTATTATTGAGTGATAAAAATGTGTGCATGATTTTCAAGGATGGTACATAGTAACACAATCTATTATATGTATATGTTTAATAAATAATATTATTTCATGACTATTGAAAACTATTACATTTTATGCATATTCTCTATTCTTTATTCTTTTCCTTTGAAGTTTCAGTTACTTTTAATCAATGACTCTAAACTCCAGCACAGTACTTCTTGTGTATGTTGTGAGCAAATTGGTCTTTTTAAAATATATTTAACTTTGCCTATTTTTTTTAAAGAAGAAAATCAATCCTGGGACAAATAGACTCTATTATCAGTAAGATACAGTATAGCTTTAAAAACCATTCTATTTAAAATAAACTAGCATGGAGTTATTCTGATTTATCTGTTATAAAGCTAAGAGATTTTAAAACCATCTCATTACTGTAACTATTGAGAATTCTACTTCCTGTATTTTGTCAATGACTCACCTTGTATAAAAGCCTGTCAGAGGCATTCATTTATTTCTCCCTGGCTTCACTCAATTCTTTAAATGAATGCTGGTATTGTTACCCTTGATATGTGTATAGACCCATCTGAATTGATCACACTTTGAAATTTAAAGTCTAACATCTTGACATATGAAGTGCTCGTGAAAGTCAATTACAGAAAAACTATCTCACAATCTGCATTATGACATAGTGTAAATAACACTTGATCATTTTGCTTCATTTAATGCAAATGATCAATGTTTCCAAACTGAAATTCAGACTCTTTAAGACTCTTCAGTATATTTTTCAGTATATTTCCCCCCACAGTGCGCTATTCCAAAAGAAGTAACTGACAACTCCATTAAGTTGTTGAGTCCAAACAGTGTATTCAGATAACTTAATCATTTAAAGAATGAATATATATAAAGGGAAATTTTATTTCATTATTAAACAACCACATTTATACCTAGAATGTACGCTTCAACATAAAAATTCTCATACTTGGAATCAGATTGTACAATATCATCTGTATTTTTTTTAACATTTATTCCCTCCAATGCTTTCTTTCTCTAACACAGCAAGTGCCAAAACCCCAACTTACAAAGGTCTTATGTAATCCAAAAGAATAGAGTGTGAACTAATGTCAAAATTGTCAACTACTTCAGGCTAGTAATTCACTAAATGTTCATAACTTAAGATATGCCATGGTACCCTGTGACTTTGTTAGGGTACCAGAGATCTCCTTCATGTACTCTTAGAAATCCTGAGCTACTGTGAACACAGCTGCCACCTTCATCAAATGGAGAAGTCAAGGATCTCTTTGAATCCTTTATAGTTGGCTTTTTTCCCCATCAGGAGCTACGCCATGTAACTTTGTATTTCTGTATGTTTTGTGGATGCCATTCATTAAATTTTATTAGTCCCAGAAAATTCCATGAACTATGGAAAGGATACCTGTGCCTTTTTAAAATGTATAGATCAATTCATAGTAGTTTTAGAAAAAAAAATAGAGGATAAAATGTTTCAACCTTTTCTAATCTGATATAAATACAGTGTTTCTGCTTATCTAGACAAATGGTCATAAATAAATGTAGATATTAGAGGTGATGCCTTTCACTCATACAATAGACTCCTAGACAGTAACTGAAAGGAATCAATGAGATCCTTATATATCAGCATGGATAACAAATAGATAACAAATACATTGTTAAATGAAAAGAATTTAAAATGTTTCAGCTGTTGTTTACTTCCTTGAAAGTCATGTAATTTTTAAAATGCACGTGGCAAAATATCTATTATTCATAGACATATCAATTATGTATCATTACTTTAATTAAAAAAGAAAAATTTGTTTTATTTTGTCAAATGTTAATGATCTTGAGCTTAGCAATAAGTGATATTTATCTTCTTGTTGTTGTTATGTGCCGTCAAGTCACCCAAGACTCATAGCAACCCTATGTACAACAGCCCTAAACCCTGCTCTATCCTGTACCAATCTCACTGTCTTCAACACACCCACCCCAATTACCTCAGTCACTGAATCAATCCACCTCATAGAGGGTCGTCTTCTCCTGCATTGTCACTCCATCCTCCCAAGCATGATGCCGCTCTCCAAGGATTGGACCCTCCTTGCAACATGTCCAAAGTATGTCAGACAAAGCCCCAGAATCCTTGCCTCCAAGGAGCCACCTGCTTTATCCCTCTCCAGGATGAACCTGTTCATTTTCTTAGCAGCCCATGGTCTATTCAGTACTCTTCTCCAGCACCACAGCCCAGAGGCATCAATTATCCTTCTGTCCTCCCTAGTCATTGTCCAGCTCTCTGACGTATAGCAAGTAATTGCAAAGACTGTATCAGGTATTTAATAAAAAGTCTTGGATTCTAAGATCTCAAGTATCTTAATTAGATCATTTACAAGAATATGTTGTTGTTGTTGCTACTATTGGTCGTCAGTGCCATCAAGCTGAATATGACTCATATGAACAGCAGATCTGAACTCTGTGATATCCTGCCCTGCCCCATCCTAGAGATACTTGAGCCAGTTGCCATAGTCGGCACCAATCCATCTCTCTCAGATTCTACTCCTCCTTCACTGTCCCTCCACTTTTCCAAGCACGATGTCCCTTTCCAAGGAATAGCCTCTGCTAATAACATGCTCTAAGTATGTGAGAACAAACTTTCACCAGCCTTGCCTCCCAGGAGCACTCTTGTTTCGCCTTGTTCAAGACATAGCTGTTTGTTATTTTGCCAATCCATGGACTATTCAGTACTCTGCTTCAAACAATGAGTGAAAGACATCAGTTCTTCTTCTGGCTCCTTCTCATTACCCAGATTTTAGATGCACAGCAGGTGACAGAAATTGAGTAATTATTTCAGTATGAAGTAGAAAGAAAGACAATTGATCAAAATCAGGACACTTTGAAAACTATGTAAAGCCAGGGTATTGTTGTTGTTAGGTGCCATTGAGTTGATTCCAACTTATAATGACCCTAAGTACAACAGATTAAAGCCCTGCTGGATCCTGCACCATCCTTACAATCCCCATGCATAAGCCAATCGTTGTAGTCACTTTGCCAGTCTGCCTTGGTGAGAGTTACCTTCTTCACCAACCTTCCATTTCCAAACAGAGTATAGTTTACACAGAGCAATTATAAGTTATGTTATTTAGAAAAAATTTTGCTTTTAATTTTCCAATTAAATTCTAAGCCCTTTGAACAGTGGCACACTGGTGTACATTTTTCAGAATGCAGATTTAGAACGTACCTTATATCTTTATTGTTGGTACTAAAGAAACATTGTCTCTTGTGTTCATAAAATCATTTCCAAGTCTAAATTCTTGGGTACTATTTTCAGACAAACATTTCAACTCAAACCCACTTGTGAAAGTGGTAAAAATAGAAATCTCAAATTTGGTGGGAAAACCAGGAAAGAACTACAAGTTTTCAAAAAATGATAATACACAATCCTCTTATCCCAAGAATAACTTGAAGGAGGAGGGACAGGTAGATATTTTGTTATGTGAATTGGACCACGGATGGAATGAGTCAAAAGAGAGAGATTGAAGGTCCTACTCATTGTATCCTATTTATCTATTCCATCTGATTTTAATGTATTGAACACAAATGACTGAAGACCAAATTAGTCTGAGATGCCATCAAAGAGATCCTGAATTTAAAAAAAAAAACCACATCATCTATGAAGACAACCATAAGTCATTACAAAGACAGAAGAGGAAGAAAAAAAATGTATGTCAGTAAAGTTAAAAAAAAATTGTCAATTGCTCTAGAGTATCAAGAAGCCAAAACAAAGGGAAGAAATGCCAAATTAAAGAGCTGACCTGAAGATTTTTAAAGGGCAGCTTGAGAAGAAAAAAAAGTATTATAGTGGAATGTGCAAAGAGCTAGTGTTGGAACACAAAAAGGAAACAATTCATTTGGCATGTCTAAAGTTGAAAGAACTGAAAAACACATTCAAGCCTTGAATTACAATATTGAGAGATGCTATGGGCAAAGACTCAAATCATCTTGAAAGCATCAAAAGAAGGTAGAAGGAATACAGAGAGTCTCTGTATCAAAAATAACTGGCTGATACTGAAAAAATTCAGGAAGTACCATATGAACAAGAAGGTCATGAAAGAAGAAATTTAAGCTGCCCTGAAAGCACTGGCAATAGTATAAGGCCTCAGGAACCAATGGATTGCCAATGATGTGTTTCATCTAACAGATGCAACCCTGGACATGCTCACTGATCTATCTATAAGAGATCTGGTTTTTTGTTTGCATTCCCAATAAAGGTGATCCAACTGAATGTGGAAGTTATTGAACAATGTCATTAAAATCCTATGCAAGCAAAATATTGCTGAAGATCATACAAAAATGGCTGGAACATTATGTTGTCACAGCAGTTCATCTTACTTGGATCCACAGACAACACCCTTGGTACCAAAAATGAGGAGATCAGGAGACATTGCATTGGACAAGTCTGCTGTCAGGGACCTCTCCAAATTACTAAGAACAGTGATGTTAATTTGAAGACTAAAGTGCACCTGGTTTAGGCCATAGTGTTAACAGTCACTTGCAATGCATCTAAAAGCTGGACAATGAAAAAGGGTGATAGAAGAATTAATGCCTTTGAGTTATGATGTTGAAGTAGAACACTAACCATCTCATGGACTGCCAAGAGAATAAACAAATATGACTTGGAGAATGTGTGGCCAGAATGCTCCTTCAAGGCAAGGATGGTGAAGCTTCACCTCACATACTCTGAGTCCATCGCTAGGAGAGGCTGTTCCTTGAAAGGGACACCATGCTTGGAAAGATGAAGGGTTGTTGGAAGAGAGGAAGGAGAGGAAGTAAGAAAGATTAGCAGCAGCAGGCTCAAGTATGTCAGAGATAATGAGGATGGCAGAAGATAGGATAGGATTCAGACAGGTTGTGCATAGGGTCACTATGCGTCTCACTTGCCTTGATGGCACCTAACAACTCACTGTGGAAATGAAATTTTTCTCTAAAGCATACTTTTTATTTCTTCTCTTTCCCTAGTTTATTTGAAGAAGAGATAATGTCATATGTGCCTCCACATGCCTTACTCCACCCCAGCTACTGTCAGTCCCCACGTGGCTCCCCCGTGTCCTCTCCTCAGAATTCACCAGGTGAGTCCTCCCATTCATTGCAGGGACTTCTTAGAGAAAAGAGCATTAATGTTGGACATTCTGTGGAACACTCTGTATACATTTTAAGTGCTGTCGAAGTACATGTCTCAGCTATCCATATATCTATATATTTCTGTCTTTCTAATATATACTCCTATCCAGAATTTACTTTTCACAAAGCTTTGGTGGCCTGGTGGTAAGAAGCTGCACTATAATCCCAAAGGCACATAGTTCAAATCTACCAGCTCCACCATAGGAAAAGGGTGAGAAGTCTTCTCCCATTCAATTAACTGACTCTAAAATCTTGCTAAAATGACAGCTATATGTTGTTTCAGACTTGATGGTACACAACAACAACAACAACTTACCTAATATGTCTCGGAAAATATGTGTGCATAAATACCATATTAGCTCATTGGGTTTAATACATTCTGGTTTTGACACTTAGTGCGCTCTGGTGGCCTAGTGGATAAGGAGTTGCACTGCCAACACAGAGGCAGGCAATTCGAATCCATCAGCTGTTCCACAGGTGAAAGATGGGCAGGCTTTTTTCCATGTGATTTACCGCCTCTGAAAACCATGTGGAGGGTTAGCCATGCATCCTTACCAGCTTGGTGGCACTGAGTTTACGTGTTTTGAATTTGGAGATCAATTGGACAGAATTTTTTTTAAATAAAGAAATAATATAGAATTATACTTCATTCATTTAATAGACTTGGATATTTTCTCCTGAAATATTAATCACTTTAATGAGATAGGAAGAGCAGATACATAAAGTTAGATAGGACATGTTGACTGACAGCTGAAACAACTTAAAATATGCAAGTTTAGGTTCTTTTTGAAAGTGATACTATGTGTGGAAATGTAGGTGAGTGATTTAATGATGGAAATGCAGTCTAGTATGAAGCTATTGCCAGCTGATAGCTGACCCTCCATTGAGTTTCCGAGGCTATAAACCACACAGAAGAGATGAACCAAGGAAGTTCTTTTTTGAAGAGCTGTCACAATGTTGACAGAACTTCAGCTGTATTTGTCTTTATCATACAGAACGTGTTGTTCACACTTTAAGAGCTGTCAGAATATAAGAAATCCAAGTCTTCATGTGTCACTGAAACCTGCTGCATGTCCTTTGATAATAGAGCATATGTTTTGATGTACTGCTATGACAATAAAGCTGTGGCCTAATTGAATGCTGCAAACAGGAAAAGGTCTATTACTGTGGTCATTGAACTCAGATTTATTGAGCATTCAACTATGTTCCAAGCACTGAATTAGACCCTGGTGCAACAAAGATGAATAATACAGTTCATGCCTTTGAAGGACTCTTAGCCAGTGAGTCAATAAATTACTCTGTAAAGCTCTGTAGTTAGACCTGTGATGAAGATATGCGTGGGAACACAGACGTGGGAACAGTGGTTTCATCAGAGTGGAGGACTGGGTGTTTGAGGAAAGATAAAGACAAACAGGTATGATGTGAGCCCTTGAAGGATGAGACTAGGAATCTACCAGGTGGACTGAAGGAAGGGCATTCTAGGGAAAGGAGCTGTATAAGCTAAGTCATAAAGCACGGAAATCGTTTAGAGCAAAGAAGGAGTAAAACTCAACTCATTGCCAGCTGATAGCTGACCCTCCACTGAGTTTCCAGGCCTACAAACCACACAGAAAAGATTAACTGGAGAAACATGGCCTTTGGGTTAGCAGCACAGCTCACCATGGAAACGCACAACACTCAAGCATGTCCTCCTGGAAGCCTTACATTATAGTCTGTGTGCAGACACTGGATGTTTATAACCAAAGGAATAAGAACATGTCTGCTGTGCAAAGATCCCTTTGGCGGTGGTCTAGAGGATTGATCAGAGGATGTGAAACTAGAATCCGAGCAACTATTTGAGTGGTTATTATCTTAGCTCAGGTGATATGAAGAGCTAAAAGTAGGCACTGGAAGAGGATAAATTCAGGGGATATATAGAATAGAGTCTTTGCATACAAGTAGGCTGTAAGAGCTGAAGATGTTCAAGACAGAGACAACCCCCATCCCAGAGAGAAGATAAAAAATGTAAATCATTTAGCTAGAAGATGTAAATTAAAAAAAAAGGAATGCCCTTTTCCTGAAATGTATGAATGTATAATTGAGATGGACAGTAGGCAGCAGTTAGGATGCAGGGAGAAGTTAAGGAAGGAAAGGGTTGTAGGTGGGAAAGTTGAACATGTATGTGTACAGAGGTCAAATGATATGGGGAAAGAAGAGTGGTTTCTTGAAAGGGACCAAAGCAACAGCTACGAGAGCACAGGCCACAGGAAGACAGGGCACTGTTGTCAAAGCCTAGGTCAAGTTTAAAAGCAAGCCACTCACTCATTGTCACCAGTGAGGGAACCCGCTCAGAGCTAACCCCGCAGTGGTTTTTCAGGGGCCAGTAAATCAATGGAAGGAGATAGACACCTTTCTCACACAGAGCAGTGGGTGGAATCGAATCACCTGCCTTTGATTTAACAGTGCAACTCCCTACCTGCAAGGCCCAGAGGGCTTTTTTGGAACAAAGTAGAGATGCCTGTTTTGAATGATACTTGATACAAAGAACTAAGTGTAAGAGACAACAGGTCAATGTACCTTTCATCAGTGTACCCTAGATCTTTCAATAAAGATGTAGGGAAAGAGATGACATTCACAGCTGTCTCCTGTCACCCCCCTCGAGGCTGTGAGCACCCTAGTCCCCTCTGAACTCGGATGTCTTTTCTGCAGGGTGGGATTAGTCATAATCACCATCCGTGGTTATACTGTGGAGAGTCCCTAACCTTGTGCCTGGAGCATAGCGAGTGTCCAGTAAATGTTCATTTATCTCTTTTCCATTCCTTCTGGGAATCAGATTCCTAGAATTACTCTGTCACTATTTTACTCATTCATAAATACAATATATTAATCCCCTTTTTCTTGTTACACAAAATTGGCCGCTTAGGTATTTAACTATTCTGAATGCCTTCATGTTAGCAAGAACCTGTACTGAAGTCTAAAGTACTGTCCTTTATTGTGTGCTTTATGTTTAAAGTCATGGAGTGTGGCTTCTGCTGGTCAAGGCTCTCCTTTCCAGGCCTTGTCTGTGACCCTGTCCTCCCGGCAGAAAGGGAGCTCCCTAGATTCTCCTTCCCCTCCTGCAGGCCCTGGGGGCCCATGGTCTCTGGGACTGGCTGCTAGGTCTCTGTATGAACCTTCTCAGTGGTGACTAACTTCTTCATCTAGCACCACAGATACATGTTGAGTAATCCAAGGCCATCATAAAATGCATTCTGCAAACGAAGGCCTAAACATTTAACATTTCCCAAAGACATGTGTAACCCAAATATATCTAAATTGCTAGCAGTGTTTGTGGTGGTTTTAATTTTCAGGAAGAATTATCTCCATGTTTTGGGCCTATTTTGTTTTAGTGGGATTTCTTTGATCTTGAGTTTGGGATGGGCTGCCTGATATCAGTTAAAGTAACTATAACTAATTCCACATGATGCAAAGGCAGAAAACCAACTAGCCCCACTTGCCCTGTGGAGACATCTCCCCTCTTTCTTTCCTAGAGTAAAATAGCCTCTCCTTTCACCAAGATTTCAAAAGTGTTTGTAAAACCATTTCAAACAGACTTTTTAAAGTGTCCTGCTACTCTTATTATGGCTAGAATTTCACAATTTTCAGAGATGTAAGACTAATATTGGTACATGATGACAATAATAAAGTTTAATGATCTTCCTTCAGGACCCCTGGGAACACGGTCCACTTTCCACTCTTCTAATTCCAGTCACATTTACATGACTCTTCAAGAATGGAGAGAAGGGGGCTGTGGAAATTTTGACTCATGGCTTTTTGCAGCTGTTAGAGGGCTCACCTCAAATGTGTCAAAATTTTGGAATGTGAAGTTTTGTTTTTCTAGCACTGTTATAATGTCAGCCCTGACCTCAGCAATGCCAGAAGGAAAAGATCCTTCCAAACACCATATGGTTTGCTATGCCAAATATGGGAGGTAGAAGTTTACTTAAGGGGCTTTCATAGCAACACATTGCCAGATATTGAAATGCAGTAATACCTAATTAATCTGGTATCGTCGGAGATACGCTCACTTAATATGAATTTTCCAGGTAACTGACCTGTTAAGTGCTGAAAAATGTTTGTTTAACCTGCCATCTGCAGAAACCTTTGGAGAGCCCATTAGATGTTCCTATGCCCCGTACACTGAGGATTTGCCAGCTGGTTGGGGTGACTGTGATGACAAGTCATGGTGTAGAGCTGTTGTTACTTGACCAGAATTTACTACCTGGAAGCTAGTGCCTGCGACAGGTCACACTTGGCCAAAGAAGCACTTTCAAACAGCAGTAAAGCACCATGTGGGTCTCAGTGATGGTCATTTGGAGGGAATGGAGTGAGAAGAAATAATTTCTTTTAACATATAGTATGAGTCCTTGAGATTGCTCTTTTTCTTTCTTTTTTTTTTTTTTAGTGCAAAACAATAAATTTTTATTTGTTCCCAGTTAAGCACAAGCAACTGCCTTGACATTTTAGAACATTCTAAGAAGGACAGCAAACCCTTTTGATTCCAAATTTTCATTCACTAAGATTGTACCATTTTCCCTTGCAGTTCATACTCCAGGCATTCAATGTCGATTGTTTGACATGCTTTTAATAACAAGGTGGGAAAGTTTAAACCTTCTGACAAGAGATGACTTTCTTCAATTTAACTAAAAGCAGTTGTTTGTTTTGGTTTGTTATTTTTTTTAAAAAAAAATCCGTTTTTTCACTGATGGGATCCCTTAACACTGCAAGTTTAGCTACATATGGCTGATCCATGATTGAGTTATAAAACTAGATTAAGTCTTAGCGAAATCTGTTCCTCCAGTATATTTGTGGTCCATAAAAGTCTTCTGAAAAGTGATCAATGATTCTTCCTAGTGCAAAATGCCTGGCTGCCTTTTATTAGTAAAAATATTTGCTTCATCAAACAGCACCTTACCCTCCTGTCCAAACA